TTTTTTTTTACAGAATTTATTTTGTTGCTGCTTTTCAGTTTTGCACCTGGGAGCTGCTCCTTAAATCGAATAGCAATTTTGTTTTTTCTTTTCATAGATTGGTCACCTGAACGCCGCTTTAAGCTATAGTGACGTCAGAATGAGTCGCGAGGTGAGTTTTGACATGGCGCTATTTCTTCTTTCTATGATCTAATATGAACGTGCGAGCGTAAGCCACAAGTCAAGTGTGCAAGAGTGCAACAGAAAACGTATAATATAACAAGGCCAATTATTTTTATAAAATTTAACGCCCTGGACAGTGTTTATAAAATAGCCTTCAGGATCATCTTAATTTATAACAACTGCTTGTTTCGGTCTTCACATCTTGTGTCTGAAAAACAGCTACATATTCATGTTGGTTCGAGTAAATAAATTATTTATTTACTCGAACCACATTGTTTTTATTGGTGCCCCACTCAAGATTGTTTCTATAATTGTAGAAGATGGGAAAATGGACACTTCATAATTTCATAATTTTGAGTTGTTTAAAAATTAACAACAATAATGAATCATTTTTTTCCCATCCAGATTCCAGTCACATTGAAAGGTGCTTTGAGTGCTAATGACGTCAGAGTGGCAGAGGTGAGTGTGGAAAAAGCAAAATAATATCAAATGATGATGGCTATTAACATAAGGTCACTGCGAATCATCGAGGTCAGTAACTTATACAAACATTTCATCCACACGAGTCTGGCGATAGTTTATGCCCGTCCACACTTTGATAAGCAGATTCATAAGCACGGACGTCTTGGTTTAAGATTGACATTGAGCATGCGCAAATTACTTGATGTCACGTCAGCGTTTTTAAGTGTATCCGTTAATGATAGCCACACGAGATGTCATCATCATCACAGTCCTCATCGCGCCGTCGGACGCATAAGGCCTTGCACGAGAAGATGTAAGCAGAGATAATTCTCATTTTGGAGAGCTTTTTAACTACGTTTTAACTTTTTACGTGAACGCAAGGCGTAAACCGATGACAAATGTAATTTGTGATAATCCCAAATTAGCATAGATTACCATTTTGCCGGCACGGAGCCGAGAGTTGGGGGCGGGTTCGAGCTGTGCAGTGTTCAGCGGGATTAGATTAGTTGCCGTTAGCAGGGTGAGACATTCTACGGTCAGCCTTCACCATGTACAGTTGTAAAGTTTCTTTTCCTTTTCTTGGTTATGCACGAACGTTACTTTACGATCGTTTATATCTCTTTAGTGCTGTCATTTTATTACATCACTGTAATTTACTTCATTTGGGTACACTAAGTTTAATTAGGATACCCTAAAACCCCAAGGGTGGCACCACTGCCTTGGTCGTGGGCACACGTTCCCTTATTTTTTCCACCTGCTGGTTTCGCGGGGTTTTCGTGTCTGGCTTTGGTGCACTTAGTTTTCGAATCTTTGTAAGATCTGTTGATCCTGAATAAACAGCACGGTGGCTTGGCTGTCCAACGCGCCCAATTTAATCACGACGTGTGTCCGGACGAGTAGTGGAGACAAAATAACTGGTTTACAGGTAAACGTATGTGTGGACGGGGCCACTGATAAGATGCACGATGAATGATTAAACGTACGCAATATTTATTAAATGTATTTGTTCTTCCAAATCAGAATGGCACAATACAAGATGCTTATCCACCTCGGTCAGTTATTCAACTGATTGAAGCCAAGGGAAATATGGACTCGACAATATGACCCGGACGACACACTCAAGTTGTCGAGGATTGAAGCAATGACGTGAAGATCGACATGGAGCGGCCTTCGTCTTATTTATTCGTTGGTGATCACCAACTCAAACTTTCAAGGCTAATTCCTTGTCAATATTTTGTATTGAAACAATATTTGTTCGTGTCCCAATTGAACGCTGCATGTTTTTGTTTTAAAGTTTCACTGAAGAAAAAAATAGCTTTTACTTTTATATTTACAGCAAATTTTAAACACAGACCAATGTCGTGATTAGTTTGTAAATAGGATCATAGTTAAGGATGAAACAGTTTAACGACATGGAACATTCCTTGCAGTTTAATTTCCACCGAGGAGTCGCAGAATGTTTTACTATTAAACTTTTTTTTCAAGAGTTGTTGGTGTTACTGGTATTAACTACAATAAGTTACTACTGGAAAGGCACGAGGCCTTTTTTAGAAACGGTTTTGGACTTTTGGATCTGAAACGGAAAACTGGCCAGAGAGTGACCATTTGAAAATCTTACGACGTCAAAGCGGCCATGTTGGTGTCTCAGGAGTCTAAAATTAGGAAATGAGATATTTTCAAATGGAAAATTGTTTTGTTTGGGAACACCGAACACCAACGTGGCCGCCGTGTAACGCTCCATTAACAACAGGGGGAAACAGAGGTGTTTGCCAAATCTAAATATATAGCTATGTGCCTAGAATCGGCGCAGGGTAGGGGGCAGCGCCTGTTCTCTGATGGCCTTTTCGTCCGATATTTTACTGCGCCTTTCAATAACATTCCGACTCTAAAATTCAACACTCAACCGACAAACGCGTTTTTCGCTACCGTCATTCATATGTTCGGCGGATCCTTCCAGCTTCCGAAAACTGCCGAGCGCGTGGTAATCAAATCGTTGGGCACAGTTCAGACAACGAAACAGTGCTCAGCAGTAGTCGGAAGCTGAGAGCAGCCACCGGACACTTGATTGACGGTAGCGAAAAACGCATTTGTCGGTTTAGCTTTGAATTTTAGAGTGCGCATGTTATTGAAAGGCGCAGTGCACGCTTTATTTCCGAAGCTCAACGCACAACAACACGGATTATACACAACTGTGCAAGACGATGGAGCCGGAAAAGACCCGTGATTTGTTCGATACTCCTTGTACTCAGATGAAAAAGGAAGGAACTATGTTAGCCTTTCAAGGTCTTGTTTACCGATTTCACAGTCACGAATTTGAGTAACTACCATTTCCAAACAAAGGATTTCTCTCATTAATGCGAGGCTAAGGATTTAAGTATTATGGGTGTCATTATGTTGTGTTATTTCGGTGATAAAAGAGCTTGAAGTTCGGGGTCGGGGGCACAGACAATTTCCATAAGCGGGTCTGTAAACGATGCAGTATTGTCAAACATAAACCTACACTAGTGAATAGATGAAATGATCATATAATAGCTGTTATTGCAGTTGAGTCTGCGGTCAAATATTCTTTTGTTTTAAAAGGCATGCAAATGAGGCGAAAGGGTTAATACAAGGCAGAATTGACCCTTTCGCCTCGTTTGTGCGTCAAGTCGCTGATAACTGCAATGACAGCTATTAAACTGCGGAGAAAGATATATATGTTATTTGCCGGCTGGGAGGTCCGTATGGTGAAAAACTGTGACCGAGGTCTTGAAATTTT